CCCAGATCTGCATGTGGGGCGAGAGCAGGCTGCCTCTGTGAGCTGGGTGAAGTTACACATTACATTTAGATTGTACTAAGAGAACTTAAAATGGGAGTATTTGCACATTAAAACTCATTAATTCATGCTAATTGCCCTCTAAGAATCTCAAAATTATGCCACTTCAGGCGAGGGTTACTCTGGGTTGTGCTACCTAGCTCATGTTAGGATAACTCTACTCTGCTTCATGGAGATAAAGCGAGAAATTTGCAGTCCTCCAGCACCCCAGGAGGCACTGTTCCAGTTCCCTCCCCCTTCCCAGGAGAGCTGGGATAGAGCCCAGGTGTCCTGGCTCCTGCTTGACAGCCCTCTAATGTCAAGGAAGAGTTATGCAGGCAAGAAATGGTATTAATTCTTAACATGTGACTGCACACAACATGGTTTAACTTTAACACTGCTTAATATTCCATAGATTTAGTATGATCTAAGTGTAATATGTAACTTCACCTTCAGGTTGTACTTCAGTTCACAATCATTATGTGAAAGGCTAAATTTCATCTACTTAAACTACTCAACATCAATTCCTACAACATATATTGATCTATAATGAAAACCCTTTGATACATATAAATATATATACTAACCTCAGTATGCTGAGTGGCATTATACAAATACCAGCTGCTAAAAGAAAACTAAAGCCTGGAAACCAGATGACAGTGGCTGCATAGAGACTATTAAAAACTGCAAATGCCATGCTACCAGTCACAGCTTCTAAGCAGGCAATACAAGCAAACACAGCACCTGTTAAAAATAAAAAATAATAAACGAATGAATTACAAAAGAATATTCACACTTCTAAAAGTACAGTAATTAACTTTGCTTGGAGAAGAGGATGAATAAACAAAAAATTAATAGATCCACTGTTACCATGGTCATTTCATGTCACCCACGTATTGTACATTTCATTAGCATGCTTTGCATGGGAACCTCCACTAAAAGCACTGTTTGGTAAGTAGAGATTCCTTTTCTCTACTAAACTCTTCCTATGTTTCTACTTTCTGTAATGCTCTTATCTAAAATTAAATTCAATCTATTCATCCACACTTTCAAGGCTCTGTGAAACTCCACTCTACTTTTCCATCCTTTCCTCTCCTACTTTTTTCCTATAGAAGGGCATGCCCCAAGGGTGGCTGTGATGTCCCCTGGTGACCATAGGGCTCCTGCCCCACTTGGCTCCCCAGGGGGTACCTTCTCTTTTCCTCTTTCCTGCCCCACCTTGATGGAATTATTTTTCTGTTGTAGAAGACAAGTTGCCCCAGGGTCCCTAAGCAAGCCCTAACCTGCCTTGGCCAGTGGGTTCCTCCTGTACCCAGTTGACCCAGTCCTGTTCTCCAATGTCCTAAGCAGGGACCCCATTGGCCCCATCAGAGCTCCAGGCCACCTTGAGGGCTATTTGTGGCCTCCTTCCACCCCTACGGCCACATCCTTGCCTTGAAGGTATTACTCTTGATTCACATACCACCCTGCACTGGCTTCAGCCCTCTTAGCTTTAGCCTGCTGGCTCCTTTTGCTGTTGACTGCCAGCCTAGGCCCACTTTCTCTAGCCCAGCTTCTGAGTCTCAGCCTGTTCTGGCCCTCTGCCCATGGCCCATCCCACTCTGCTGGGGGCTCAGGCCCTGGCCCTCTTTGCTGGAGCCTGCCCCTTCCTCTCTGTTGGGGCTCAGGCCCTGGCCTTCCTGGACAGAGCCTATCCCTGATAGGGCTGAAATTATGGCATGCCTCCCAGGCACCCTGGGTGGCCTCCTGTCCTTCCCTCCAGCCTGTCCTGTCTCCCAGTTGTGATGCAGCAGGTATCTCTTTAGTATGTAAACTTTTCTGAAAAGAGAAAAGGTAGGTACATCTGACAAGGTAGGCTGTCACCTGTGAAAGCTTGTGCTTTTCTGAACCAGTTAGTCTTTTAAGGTGCTACCCTGTCCTGCCTTCAGCCTGTTTTTGGAAACGAGTCCTTTTCAACATGCTTACACATGGTATGGTGTGGGTATGTTTATAGTGCTACAGATAAAATCACGTTAAGCATACAGATGTCATAAATGATGCACTGTCTCCTGTATCAAACCACATAACTACACAAAATCCTGAAGAATGCCAACAAATGGCAAATAAAGATATGCGTATGTTAACAGAGATCAGTATGAAGACATCTTTGCTTTACTTTGAGATGCTGGTTTCCAAAAAAAATTAACATCTCCAAAAAAATTTTTGTACAATGTGAGCTGACAGTTTCACAAAATGCAGCTACTCATAATTCTGAAACAGGGCTCAGAGCTATAACATGGTGCAATAACATGGTATAACATGTTTTAAACAAAAGCCACTCCTTGTCAGCTTTAAAGTAAAGATCACTGAAAAACACTGTGTGTACTGTGTTGTGCTTCTTTTCTGTACTACACATGTAAAGTGCTGTTAGTTTGAAATCTAAACATTCATGGTTTTATAGGTGTAAGAATGAATAGGTAATATCCTTTGGAAAAGGCACGGAAGCCATAAGCAATGTTTCACAATTCAATGTTTGAGTTTGTAATTGTTTCTTTTAATCTTCTCAAGTGTTCTGAAGGTTGACAATTCACCTTTTTGCCCTTCACAATACAATTTGTAATGGCTGACTTCACATAAGCAATATATCTTTCCCTGGATGTAAAAATGTGCTGAATGTTAAAAACACTTGTAAAGTCAAACCTGTGTAAGTGCACTTCAACTTTCCATTGCTCTTTGTTTTAAAAAGGATTTTTTTTCAAAATAGTAACACTGGTCAGAGGCTAACACCTAATCTAATTTATACAGATTTAGAAACCAAAGCCATATGGGTATTACTTAAATACCTAGATAGAAAAGTGGAATCTGAAATTAAGAAAATGTGACATCATAATATCAATGCAAATTGAAAGAAAATGAAAAGCCCCATCTAAGAGTCTACCTGTTTTAAATTACCCAATGGCTGTGTTCTTTCTAAATATTCAAATTACCTTGTTCACTATCCAGAACCACTTTTGACAACATGGATCGCAGAACAGGAACAGGCATAAAGCAGAGGAGAGATGGCACCCTCACTGTAAAACAATATGAAACAAGTATAAATGACTAAAATAGTTAAACTTCAGGCATTTAAAGGTGAACTGCAGTGATTTTTTTAAAACAAGTCAGCTACATATTTATGGTTTGAATGCCCCAAATAGTAAAAGTCATAGGGATTCAAAGCACAACTCTATGATGATGCAATTATTTTTAACTATGTTAACAAAGGAAATGTTCATAAACCCAAGTCATATACAAATAATTGAAAACACAAAGCTATGAGCAGGTAATGCCATTAACTGTCTGTACTCTTTCTTTTTTTAATTTGCATTTTAAATCCAGCATGCATTTGATTCTACTTTACATTCCTTTTATGTTTTTGGTGCTTATAAGGCAGGGGTGTCAAAGATACAGCCTGCAGGCCACATCTGGCCCATGAAGCCATTTCTTTTGGTCTGTGGGGCTCCTGGAGGAATTCAGGGTAGGTTGAGCAGGGCAAGGCCTGCCTCCAGTTTCCCAGGTCCAGACCCCTGCTGGGGACACGTGTGGGCAGCAGGGGGAAAGTGACAGCTGCATTAACTCTGTGCCACTGCTGCTATTCACCCTGCTGCCTTTCACCCCACTACCACAGGTGGGTCCAAATCTGGCCCACGAGGCTCCTTATACTCAGGATCCAGCCTATGAGGAGCTTTGTTATCTGGTTCTGGCCTACGAGCTGTGGAGAGTTAAATATGCCTTCTTTAAGGGATTAGCTGCTTTCACCATATACAATATAACAGAGCCATCCAACTGCTGACCCATGGACCACATGCAGCGCCTGAGTTAATCTGTAGCCCTTGGGTTCCCAGTCTGGATGCTGCTCCCCCTATCACTCTTGCTGCTACCCCTGTGATCTCTGGGCTCCATGTCCCTCTTCCACTACCTGCTCCTGGCCCTGTCCCTAGGATTGTGTGGTATGGCCCACAGGGCCAAGAGAGCCCATGGCTAGGGCACCTCAGGGATACCGCCACCCTGTGTGGCACGGGGGTGCTGATATGGTGCAGCAGGGAGGAGTCTGCATGGTGCGGCATGTGACCAGGGGGAAATATGGCATATATAGCATGTGGTTGGTGGAGACTGTCAGACTCATGTTGGACAGTCCTGGGGTATAACATGTTTTCACTATCTTTGAACTTACCTAAAAACATGAGCAGTGTAGTTTTGGCAAAGGCAGCCATGATTATTCCTCCAATATAAGAAAATATCCCAATGAAAACAATATAAATGTCTTTCATAAACTGAGAAAACAAGTACACTCCTAAAAAACTGGTCAGA